TAGAAGAATAGTTTTTACATACCTAGTAACCAACCAATTTAATTCATATATAGAAGATAATCCAATAGGTTATCCATAATAGATCAAGCAACAATACTGGTTTAGACACTCCAAAAAGCTCCTTACATATGACATACGTTTATTAGTTGAAGTTGAGGAATAATTGAAGGTTGGGTATGCATGCCTACTCAATTCAGATATCACCTAAGAACCACTTCAAAGATTCAATTCAACAGTCAACTTAACATATAAAAATTATTAGGGGTGAGAGCAGATCGGATCGGGGTTGGATCCGACCATATCCGGATCAGAATCCGAATAGTATGCATCGGATCCATATCTGGATCCCAATAGTATACATCAGATTTGGATCTGGATCCTGATTACATATGCTATTTAAAAAGAATTATATATAAAATAAATATTTACTATTTAAAAAAATTGAGTTGACTTTTTTATCCGGTAAAAAAGTTAGGGCTTGTATACAATGAGATCATTTCTCTTTTGTACAAGGAGGTCACAATTACTTACAACCATTTGATGTGAAATATGATAGCTTGAGTGTGTCACAAAGTTCGAAAAAATTTACTTTTGAACTTTGAGCTTGGTCAATGAAATAAATGCAGATTTCACATCCAATGGTCAAGATTAATTGTGACTACCTTGTACCAAAGGTAAATAGTATCTTCATTTACTTTCCCAAAAAGTTATGGATCATTTTGTAGACATCCAAAATAAAATATTAGTAAGGATCATGGATGAACCAATAGACAATGTGCAGTAAAAGTAAATGGCTGATACATGCCCATTTTTTGCTGAACATCTATCTAAATTTAGCATGGGTTTCACTTTGTTTAAACACCAACAGCTTTATGTGCATGTTTCAATCAACTAAAGGCCATTTTTTTTAATATAAAAGATCGGAATTCGGCAATTAGACCAAGGTTTTCGAGGTCACAAAATTTATCGTTCTATCACCATTGTGCTCAGCAGAATTTGTAACATGAATCAATTTAAAGAATATCAGAAAATTCAATTTTAAAAACTATAAAAAAGGAATAAAATTTGCTAGATAAAATTAAGCACAACGGTCATATATATCCAGTATAGATAATAATAAAGAGACACGAAATTTGTATGCGAAGTTGGTAAAAAACAAAGATCACTAACAATCAAAGAGAAATCATTAAGCTGAGCTTACAAAAACCCAACACATCATTAAAGGGGCCTACAGTTTGCTGGTTTATGCAATTTTTAATGGATTTTTCTTTTAAATAATTAAAATTGCATATTTTTTACCCCAACTTTATGTACTTTACATGTAATAAACACAACAAAATGGTAGTGAGATGTTTCATGAGATACTCACATAAGGATATAAGCAAGTAAATCAGAAGAATAGAGTCAATATTCATAATAAAAAGCAACAATAAACAGACTGAGATTGTAATATGTAACTTCCTCCATAAAAAAAAGAAAAAGAAAAAAAGAGGTGATTTTGCTATTAACCTAGATTTGGATATAAAATTGGTGAATAGACGAAAACACTTGGCACGATGTGACTAATACCTCTACAAAATCATAGAATCCAAAACATGAGAAACTTAATTGCATATCGCAAATAGGAATAAAAATAGACCTCAAAGAAGTTAAAAAACAATTGATATATGAACCAATCATGGAATTCAGATCCATAGACTTCAATCAAGAGAGAGAGACCTAAATTTTGTAGAGAGAAAAGAGGTAACCTAAGCAAAAGAGCAAGAAAAGGACAAGAAATATTGGCAAAATTATAAAAATATATCATCGAGCTTAATATTCACACCTAATGTGTAGGTTGTTTGGAGTCCCACTGCGATTAACTAAACATCACGGTGGACATGAACTCCTTTTTTAATAGGACTAAAACAAGGGATCTGGAAGAACGAGATGCTTTCGCTTTCTTCGAAGTTTTAAACGCCTCACCTCGATAATGTTTCGAGGAGAAAAACTCCTTTTTTAATAGGACTAAAACAAGGGATTTGGAAGAACGAGATGCTCTCGCTTTCTTCGAAGTTTTAAATGCCTCACCTCGATAATGTTTCGAGGAGAAAACGGCCACCTGAGAAGTGCACTCCAAGGTTATAGTCAGATTGAAATACAAGTTTGAGTCCCTAAGTTGCACGATACAAATATGTCCTTCCAATCGGTATGATATTTACAATTGGTTATAAATCTATCTCATTACAAAATTTATTATTCAATGGGTATATTATAATAAAACATCGATTAAAAACATCTTCTTTCAGTAAAAATTAGTCTTCCAATCAGTAACATAACGACAATTTAACATTGATAGAAAAATAAAAGCACATATATATCTTACATATTAAAATAACAAAAGATAGATTTATGTAACAGTAATTATCACCTGAGAAATCAGGTGAGAACATACCTTCAAAACATTTTCTTTCTGTCTCCAAGCCTCTGTCATTAAATTTAATAAGAAGCATGCAACAAATTTTTTTACAAAAGAGAGAGAGTAGAGAGTAGAGACCTCACTGGTTTATTTCTTTACTTGAGAGAGGGAGAGAGGGTACATGTTAGTAGGAGGAGAGAGAGAGCGCTCTTGTTTTTAACGAGAGAGAGGCAAAACACAACAGCTCATAGGAAGGTGATACAAGGGGATTGAAAAGTTGCCACGAAGGTGGTAAAGAAAGAAGCACCTCATGTCAAAATGCAAAGTAAAAGATGGTGATAAAAATAGACCACCAAATTTATAAGAAATAGCACTTTTCAATAAAAAGCTGACGTGTTCCAAAAATCTCAAATCACTGCGAGATCAAATGCGATGAAAAGGGGAAGAGAGGCAGACGGGAAGCAAAATAAATAGAGAGAAGAGAATAGAGATTAGAGATTAGAGAATGAAGAAAGAGCAATGGAGAGAGAACAGGAAATGAGAGAGTTATATAGGCAGCCAACATGTGGAGAGAGAGAGAGAGACGGCAACAAAAATGTAGAGAGGGAGTGGTAATGAATGGAGAGAGAGACTTACATGGAAATAGAGAGACAACCAACTGACATGTAAAGAGAGAGACAGGGGGAGAAGCAATGACACTCTTCCTGATTCGTCTCCACGCGAGGAATGAATTCGGCCAAGTTATGCACACCTTTTTTTTACCATAAATTTTTTTTTTAACAAATTAGGAAAAATGTTTAGTGTTAATAGAAACCATTAAAAGGTTTAAAAAGATTAAAAAATATATAATATGGACTATTAAAATTTTTATTTATATATTGAATGTTTTTTAAAAGTATGAAGAAATATATGAAAGATTCCATATCATCCTAAAAACTATCAAAATCATCTAAATCTAAGCAATAAATTCGTCATTATTTCTATTTTAATTTTCAGGGGCATTTTTTAGGGGACGATTTGGGCACCCACTCGCCCAAAACTCGGGCCGAGTCACAATCAAAATCACAAGAAAACTACTCCCTACCTCTTCAATGGAATATATAAAACTTAGGATATCATCATAGGAGCTGCACTTGAATTCAATCAAACACATACTATTAGGGCATGTTTGGATCGACGATAGTTAATCTTATCATGGACATATATTATCTAAATTAATATACTATACCTAATATTATATGGGTTTAGTTTGCATAAGGTTGCAACCTAAAACAATCAAAGTAAGGCTCACCTCAACTAAAAATTTTATCTAAAGATGTATGTTTGGTGTCCAAAATTCCTAGAATAGCTTTAAAATGTATTTTTATCTTTAATTACAAAATTTAAAATTCTAAAAATAATTAAGATAGAGTAGATCTATAAATAGGTAAAAATCTTGAAAAAGAGCAATCTACATAATTCATTATAAGATGTACTATTTTTTAGGCTTGAAGTATGTTTCTTTTTCCATATCCATAAATCTAGAGTTTGAGATGATCAATCAGAAGGCTTTCCATCGTCAAAAAAGACTTTTCCAATGAATTTATGGGGTGCATCTTACTAATTTTAGTTATTTTTAGGTATTTATAGCTAAAAAATACAATTTTTAGCAAATTACTTCGAATACAATATAAACATTTCTTCAAAAACTAGATTTATATATAAAATTGCATATGAAGATTATCTAAAATAACTATATTTATGTTGCCAAACAACCAAGTAATTCATTACTGCGGCTAGTTTTATTAAGTAATAAAGTATCAATGATAGCCATTACACTCAAACAAGGTTTTAATTTGTATAAGGCTGAGGCCCTAAACAATCAAAATGAAGTGCACCTTCAAATAGTGTCAAAAGATATTGTTTTAATACTACAAATCTATGTGATAGTCTCAAAATTTATTTCTATATCTAGTTATAGAATTTAAAGGTTAAAAAATAATATACATTTATGAGCACTTGAAACTCTCGAAAATGGACAGTCTAGATAATACATTGCAACATGTACTATTTCCAAGACTTGAAATCGATTTTTTCTCACATCCGTACATCGGTCAAGATGAGCAATTGGAAGATTTTTTAGCATTAAAACAACTTCTTCCAGCAGATTTTAATTTTTTCTCACATCCATACATCGGTCGAGATGAGCAATTGGAAGATTTTTTAGTATTAAAACAACTCCTTCCAGCATATTTTAATAGGTATCTTAATTTGATTGTTTAGGACCTCACCCTCATATACACTTCTTCACCCAAGATAAACTCGTAAGCGCCGTTCCCCCCTGGTTTACAAGGATGCATTCGTGGGAACGCAGGCCTTTAACGCCCTCCTAAACAACCAAAACTCTCCCTTTCTCTCTCTAGCATATTTCATCTAAAGAGAACCCTTTTCTTTGTTTCCCCTCCATAACCAACAGCTCTCTCTCTCTAACATGAATTCATGCAGATAAACACTTTTTATCTGTTTTTCAAAAATTAAATATAAAGCCTCTTGCCCGTCCTAAGCCAATAACTCTCTCTTTCTCTCTCTAACATGAATTCGTGCAAATATGCATCCTTATTTATTTTTCTGAAAAACAAGGTTAACGGTAACCCCCCTACAATTTCCTTCTCACTTCACACATTCATGTAAATACGCACATTTAAGCCCTCCTCTCTCCCACCACCACTACCAAAATATGCATTTACGCGCATATTTAAGCCCACCTACCCCACTAACTATACATTCATGCACACATTTAAGCCCCACCAACCCCTACAACTCTCTCTCTCTCTTTTGGGAGTGGTTTGTACAAGGCTTAGGCTTCAAACAAATCAAAGTAAGGCACACCTTCAAACAGTGTTGAAAGATGTTGTTTCGACACTAAAAATCTTTGTGACGACTTGAAAATTATAAAATCTGAGGCTTATACATGTGTAGATCGAGCAGATCTATAAACATTTGAAAATTAACGATCCAAAAAATATTGGTATTTTGGTATTAAAAATATGTGTGTACATCTCAAAACAACATTATGATTTTCTTAAGCTGTTTTTTGTAGAGAAAAAACTGCTCCCACATTGAAGAAGAGAGAGTTAGTTGAACAATATTTAAGGATAAGCATTTTCATGCTTTATACTCTTAGCAAAGGTGAGAGAGATGGTGCATGTGCGGAGGCGTGGGTGCAAGGGCACATTCTCGCATCGGCGCATGACACGCCCAAGCATGTGTGCGGGTCAAGCTCGTAGCTTGATATCTTTTTGTAAGCCCGGCATCGAGGATTCCAACAATTAGCAAAAGCCATCAAGTGCAGTAACTTGTAGCTATTTGGTGGTGCCACTACACTAAATGAGCAAGTGCATGTAACTTGTAATTATTGATGGTGAATGTAACTACTACTACACTAAATGGGCAATCTCTTAGTGCTCTATAGTAAGGGCCATCCTACCCATACTAGTTGCATATTACAATAGGCAACATCTTAGTGCTCTATAGTAAGGACCATCCTACCCATACGAGTTGCATACTACAATAGGCAACCTTTTAGAGCTTTATAGTATGGACCATCCTACCCATAAGAGTTGCATACGACAATAGCGTATGTAACTTACGAGTTGCATACTATAATAGACAACCTCTTAGTGCTCTATAGTAAGGACCATCCTACCCATAAGAGTTGCATACGACAATAGCGTATATAACTTGTAGTTGTTGGTAATGTATGTAATCACCACTACACTAAATGGGCATCATCTTAGTGCCCTATGATAAGGGCCCTCCTACCCATATGAGTTACACACTTGGAATATTTTTGAGCCTCTCAACAACACACCCTTCTCTGCAATTCTAGTGAGCAAAAGCAATGGATTAATCTCTCTCTCTACTCGTTTTTCTCTCCTTCTCTCTTAAAAATATTAAGACTAGGGGAGCAAAACTAGTAGGCTAATCTCTCTCTCTACTCGTTTTTCTCTCCTTCTATCTCTAAAACATTAAGATTAGTGTCTAGTGTTAGGGTTTCGAGCTCGGGTGCATAGAGCTTAGGAACCATCCCTCAACCTAAAAGGAAGAGCCACTTGGACAGTGGCCATCATATTGCACATGCCTTTGATAAGATAATAGAGCGAAGCACTAATTGTGATAAGGAGAAGATGATACAAGCTACTAAAGAAGATTGTTCTTACTACACTTGCTTAGAGGAATTGTAGGAGTTACAAGAATTTTCTGCAGTCGAAATGGTGGAACTAGTAGAAATTTTGATGGATAAAAACAATAGAGTTGTATTTAAGAAACTAATAGGATTAATTCGTGGGTAGTCGAATGCGAAAAACCATTGCAGGATATGTGGGCTAATTATTGTAACAGAAGATGCTAGTTTGTTAGTTGGTTGATGATATTATGATAGATCATATAAGTTCTATTTTTTTATATATGGGATTATGTATCTTTTTTTGTTTGTAAATAACTTCTTTACTATTAACTTAGTTTAGGATCATCTATCTATATTGATTTTCTAATGGAGCAAATTTCTTATATGAAATGCCAATAATCTTTCAATTCATAACAAATGGCCTCCCTCTATTTCTCTTGTGTAATCTTAATATCTTACGGATAATAAACTACAAGGAACCAAGACCAAATAGAGATCCAAGAGAATAACCCTCTATTTCTCTAACCTGTCCGCTTCGCAATTTGATTCTATCAATAAACCCGGTAAAAGAGCATACAGTTCAGCATGGTTCGCTATAATATTGCTACACAGCCCGGAATATGAAAGGATTATTGCTCCCTTACCATCTCTAGTCAAACAGAAGGTTTTAAGTATTAGTGAATCGGAACGAAACTAGCCGGTTTGGATCATGAGTGTTGGGCCCTGTTCGATTTTAAGAAAAATATTGGAAACCATCCATTTTTGCCTGGTTGTTGTGAAAGGAAATTATATATTGTATATCCAGTTAATATAGAAAGTGTATATTGTAATCAGTAAATATGGGAATGATAGGATATTGTGTCTTATATTTTATAGTAAGTTTTTGTATAGTTTAGATGTCTATGATTTAGTTTCTATTACTGACATCTGTAATTTGTCTATAAAACACAAGTCTGTTCATATCAATGAAGGAAAACGTTTCTATACTTCCCATATAGCATAGAAGATCTATGTTTCCCCTACCATCCAGCCGTCCAATTTTGATGAATAGAGCCACTCGCCGTTTGATCTTAGATTCGACGTCTCAAATTATTTTATTTTTAGTTTTTTTTTTATACAAATTGTATGAATATGAAATTACAAAATGCTATCAAAGGGAGCATCTAAAGTTTGAAAACTTATAGAAAAAACGAGCAGTTGGAACTTCAGCATGACCAGTAAATGTAGTGGTTGTTATGCTCAAATTGCTTGATCAACAAGCACAGACAACAGCGGCAGATCAACAAGCCTCTGGAATAGATGGTCTCAAGAACTGAGGGCCATATC